AAAAAACTTGTGTCGGGTATAGCAAGTAGGGCTAGACTTTTCCTCGGGTGTAAGACCTAGCTACCTAGTTTAGACACTCCCATAAGGTGAAATTCCAAAAAAGTTTCACGGTGTGCAGAACCGGTGGTGCGACTCTGAGAACTCCGCTTTCCAACAAAGACACAAAGATTTTGTTTTATAAAATACCTGGTTCGTACACTCCCCTAAGGTGAAATTCTGAAAAAGTGTACTTATTTTTATAAAATAGTCATTCGATGTGTAACATCCAATAATGACTTGGTTTTATAACCACATGACTTTATTTCAAAATGATCATTGGATGTAATTCATCAATGGCGGATTTTTCATACATTGACATAGCATTGTGTGGTGGGAGTCGGTAAAGGCTCGGGTTGAGCTGCATGAGTGGGTACCATCTCATATCATGGCATGATATGTTAGATTCCAACTTAGACTTGCTAAATCTTAGTTGGAATGGTTGTTGCTTGTTTATGTGTTGCATGTGACCAGCGCATATGCATTTAGGTTGGGGAATAGCCTCTTTAGGAAATACGCTACTGAGCGTAGCTCACCCTTTATGGGAAAAATATTTCAAGTGCGGGTGGTACGTTGGCGAAAGGCTCTCACTCAGAGCCTCAAGTATAAAGAAAGTCGAAATGTGGCTAAATTTTGAGTGTTTTGTAAAGTATTATGAAAATCTAGTTAGGCATGTAAATTAATGTAATCGAAATTGTATGGACCTTGTGTTATATTAAATATTGTCATTACACATGTGTTGAATGAAACTGGGATAGGTTGGAATGAGTTGAAAATGCAAAACATGTGAAACAGGCAAAAGTCAGCAAAGCATACCGATAGGGCATACCGGTATGACGAGGTCCAGTGGGCAACTCATACCAGTGGGGCATACCGGTACAACTTTGTCTAGAAAGCAAACCCTACTGGTAGGAATTTTCCAGTAAGCTTACCCTACCGGTATGCCATACCTGTAGGACTTCCAAAATTTTGAAATTTTAAAATTGTTTTGTCATGTTTTTGGGCCATGGGTTCTTTGGTTCCAAGGATATAAATGGACTATAATAGAATATGAAATGGGTACATTAGACCACGATTTGATTAAATGATAAAATGTACACGAGTTACACGTATGAGTTATAATCTCGGTTAAGGGAGATGTTATTGACGTGACGTCGTGTGAGACGATCACGGGTACTTCCACGAGTTGACGGGTGGTCAACGGTAAAAAAAGGACCCCCGATTTTAGGGGCGTCACACTACTGACACATTAGCATTGACAAATCCTACCCAATATGTATTGCATGACATTTTATTAAATGTTAGGGTCTAAAGCATAATTTTTGATATTTTTATGGGGGTTAGATAATATATTAAATTGTAAACTTTAGGGGTTGAATTTTCTGATAAAATTGTGTTTGGGCGTAAAATCATAAAAGGAAAAAATGTTTTGGGCGAGAATTTATGAGTATTGGAAATTAAGAGGTGTGTGTATGATTAAGGAAAATTAGAGGGGACCTAAGCATAATTAGGTCAAACTCGGTGAGTCACTAGAGACACTTGTGTCTCCCTCGTCCACTCTAGCCGTGTGTGTGGGTGTGTGTTTGAGTTGGGAAAAGGAGGGAGAGAGAGAGAGAGATTAGGAAGGAAAGGACGAAAAAAAAAAAAGGAACGGTGGTGAGAAAACCTAGGATTTTACTTGAGTTTTCTAGTGGGTTTGGAGAAGGGTTCCGTCCAATAGGTAAATCCATTTTTATGATTAATTGTAGTTATTGGGAAGATTTGATGGAAAGATTTGTAACCTCGGTTGTGTGGGTGAAGGGCTTTGGCTTCGATTTCGATTTCGGTTTCCGGAATTTGATTATTGGGTATCATTATTGGTGAGAATTTATACAGTTAATGATATTGATAATTTATGAGTAAGTGGTTAAGAGGTGTAGGCTTGAGAGAAATGGGTTGAGGAAAAAGCATGAACGAAAAAGAAGTTTTGTCAGGGTTCTACCGATAGAAAGTGATGTTCTACACATAGAACGACATTATGCGAGGTGTTCTACCCGTAGGACTTGTACCGGTAGAAACATAAAATTTTCACCATTTTGTTTTCGTTAAACACTCAACTTTAAAGTTTCCCGAGGCACTCTAATGGTTACAGTTTATATTTACCTATAAACACATCATTAAACCAATGAGCTTGGGTACATTATGATAAATAGATGGGATTTTTGGGAAGAAGTCAAGTTAATTTTGATTAATCAATTTATGCATGTGTAACATAATGTTATGTGCTATAAACAATATTTATCTGACTTGTGCCGATGTATATTAGGTTTAGAGACAACGTCGGGTTTACCTAAAAATTACAAAGGGGAACTGAATTTGGGTTTTGGATTTAACCCGATGTGATTGTGTTGATTCATATTTATAAGAAATGTATATGTATGATTACTAGATATACTTATGTGAATATAGCAAAATTGTGATATTGGTAAATTATGATTTGTGAATCGATGATTGGTATTGAGATCAAGTTGAATTGGACAATTATGTGATTTCTATGACTATAATTGCTGAGATTATTGGGGATGAACGGTAGCGATATAATAGTCGAGACTGTCGAGCGTAAATGGTAGCAATGAGACTACTGGGCATAAACATTATCGATATGATTGCTGAGACTCTCGGACAGAAACTGGTACCGTTAACTGCTATTGGATAGTCGAATACTGGATATTGAATGTTGGAAAGTTGAATTTCGTTTGTATTGATTATGTGGGATAGGTTGGTGTTTGTGCCGTGAATATATGTTTTATTACTATATGTCTTAAATATACTCACTGAGCGTGTGATTTGCGCACTCCCCCATAGTTTATGTTTTAGGTGTTCGAACAAAGAGAAATGTCCATTGTTGGGTCTTGACGGTCAAGAGAGAAATGATTTTGTTAAGATCATTTTGTAATTATTGTTGACATGTAATTAATTTTAAGCTTCAAAGTTGTAGTACTTTCTAATTGGGGAGAAAAGACTGTTAAATAATCTGTTGAATGTGTGCGATTCATTTAAGTATTAATGCGTCTGGTTGGTGCTTGTGTTGTGTAAGGGCTTATGTCAAAGGTGTGGGTCCACTTTACAGGAGTAGACAATATGGGTTACCTTCGGGTTAGGGTGTGACAATTTTGTTATCAGAGTCTAGGTTTGGCAGGCTCAGTAGACAAGTGAGTCTAGGACAGCATTGAACAAGGTAAGGTTAGTTAGGGTAAGATAAGCATAGAAATGTTTATGCTATACATTTAAATATATATTTCTATGTTGATTTACATCTCTGTAATATTGTGAATTGTGGATTTTACAACTGATTTGGATCGGGTAGACATGGAGTGTTTTTATATTTCCATTATAATTGAGGAACGTGACAGACAACATCAAGAAGAGGTTTATGAAAGATTTATGAAATTGTGGACTACAAATTTTCAGTGTTAAAAAAAAATCGAATTTAGTGATAGGTTACAAAAATGACTATTGATTATTCTAAATTCTAGCAATAAGTTTTTATGGGGGTATGGGTTATTTGGGATCAAGTTTTGAATGCGTTTAATGCCAAGTGTTTTGTTGTATCGTATTGGTATGAAAATGAACAAACTTGATAGGGTTGACTCAGAGGAAGATGCATGTGAATGGGTATGAAGCATGAATTACTAATCTAATCTGTATTGCTTCAGTTTTTGTTTAAATTGAAGAGGAAATATGTAAGAGAATTTAGCAGGGATTTGATTTCTCTATTTGAATTTGTACTGTAGCTTTTGAATCAATATACTATGTTGCTTGAGAAATGAATCTTTACTTGTTGGAAAGGATGAGTCATAATTAGCTTGTTGATGTGAACAATCTAAGAAAAGACGTTTTGACATCACACCGGTTATGTGATCAAAAATGGAAGTGTGAGCATCGAGATATTAGTGGCAGGGATCTCACTCTGGTACATGATAGGATATCTGGTAGTTTATCAAAAGTCTGTAGGGTTTTATCCAGGACAGTAAGGAGGAATACATTCACACATTTGTATCAGAGATGCTATTTGTTATCAGTATGGTGTTGAAGGATATATATATTCATTCAGAGATTATGTGTCCATAACATTAGGCTAGTTTAATTGATGGTATGAGTGTGAAAAGATGAGGCATGTATTATAAGGTTATCTGTTTGGTTCAATTACAGTATCATCAATGATAGTTTAATCTTTTGGGATGCAGGTTCATTCAGGGGTGTTTATAGGGAAAGAAGAGAAGCTTCAGTAGTTCTAGATTACACAGTTTAGCTCATAATAAGATGACAAGACGCAATTGTCATTCTTGATGTGGCCTGACTATGTTTTCTATTTTCATTAGAGATGCACGTACTTTCATAAAGTTTGTCTCTGTGTATCTGTCTGTTAACTTCAATTCCAAAATTTTGGAAAAAACTTCCCAAAACAAAATTTTTTTGATTTTGAATCTACAGTGATTTAAAGATTAGCGGCTGACCTAATGACCATAAACTGCTATTGCATTTTAACATCTCAGGTTCAAACTTCATCGTCTCCCTCCCTATAATAGCGCCTTCCCTATAATAGCGCCCGACTTGAAAAAACAAAAAAATCGGTAGCAATTTTTCATTTTACCAAAACCAAAATATTACTACGAAATTTGATCCATAGTTCCGTTTTCTACAAGCATTTGCAACAAATCCTCCTTTTATTACATGAGTCAATTTCGGCTCAACCCTCGTTAGCTATCAACAAGCAACAAACTCAACACATGCAATTTTATTTTAGAAACATACACCATGCATTATTCAGCAGAGAATGTAGGATTTATTTTAATGGAAAACATTGAAATGCAGCCTTCCTTCAAATAAAATTGGTAACTACAACACAAATAGATCACTCACTCCTAACAAAATAGTGCTGGTAATTTGCTAGGAGTAAAAGAATAAACCCTAACGCCCGCCATTCATGGTTCAAAAGTTGGAACTTGATCTACAGGAGCTGAAATTGCCCGATATACTGTTCTATCAATGATACCTCTATAAGGGTCCTCCTCACGCTTTTTAATCAAATAAGCCATGCTGCATTCAATTTCAGATTTAATATGCAAATACATCTCATTTGCACTTTCTTTGTTCTTCAGCTCCTTTTCTCTTCCCTTTGTCTGTATAGGCTTTCCAAACAGATAGTAAAACCGTCCAGGTAGCTTAGGCAGAAGAGCGGGGGCATAGAAATCTTGGTTTGCGACCTCCCCACTCATTTCACCCCTACAACATGTAGGCAGGCTTAGGAGCAAAAACAAGAAAACAAGCCAATTTCATGGAATTAACGAATGATACCTCAGCCTTATAGTGTCTTTGTTGGTTCTTCTTATGTAGTCTCTAAGCAGAGGTATTCTCATTATGTCGTTGTAATCAAGAACTAGCTGCACATAGGAAGAGAAAACAACATCAACAAATAGGTCATTAAGAGCACAGAAACTAAGACATTAATTCTGATTCAGGCTTGTAGAAGTAAAAAACGGGGTTGGAGTGAGAGAGAGAGAAGGGGTGGTTGGGGGTGCAAATGATCAAAAGATCAAACAGTTATCCATTCAAATATCCAACAAAAATTCGGCATAAATTCCATTTTACACCCATGCGCTTTGGTCCTGTAGCCCTTCCCCTCATATCACTCAAATATAGGCACCCAACCCTCATGATTTTGGACCAATGGGTACCAATTGCCAGTGTTAACGATACTGGTCAAAGAACCCTTGGTCCTCGCATATTTTGATTTTTACCATGTCTCTTTTTCTCTGCTCGTGGCTAGTTCTCAACTGTTGACTAATGGAGTTATGTTCATGACATTTTGACTGCAATTATAGTTGGGGAGAGAACTGCTGTTATTCGATTGATGGTATGAAGCTCATGCCACAGGTTACGGTGACATGAATGGACATATTTTTCTTTCTTTTTTTTGGCCCCACTACTGATGCATGACAGGAATGAACAAGATACCATGTGTCAGATCCTTTTTTTTCATTCCATTTTTCTGTTCTTACATTTTTTATGATGAAGGGCATGATCCTATGTTGCTCATGCAGCAACATACAGTGACACAAATCAACAAAAGATGATTATGAATTTTTTTTTAGAAAAAAAAAACACGCGGACTGCTGCTAGAACCAGGCAACTGGTTCTGCTCAAAATCAGCCCCAGAACCAGTCCAGCCAATGTGGTTTGAGAATAAAAAATCGAGGGGAGGAAAAAGAAGAAGAAGAAGAAGAAGAAAAGGGGCATTCTGCCTTTCCAAGGAAATGAAAGGACAATTTCGTCTTCTTAACATTTGAATTTGGGGGGAACATATTTGGACAATGTCAACTCACAGAACAGGGGCGTGTCACAATTTCCGTCAAATTCAATGGAATTGTAAGGTTGCTAATTGGTCTAAAACCACGCGAGAATTATGTAATCATTTATGAACAAGAAGATGGTTAAGCGCAATGGAATCAAACGACATGAAGGCAAAATGGAATTGGCACCAAAACATAAATTATGAGCTCAAATCTATTTAACAAAATTACAATAAGCAAAATGGTAAAAAAGCATGGATAACAGTCAAACCGTTATGCCAAAATGAAAATGCATGACAGGAAAATAGTTTGTTCATCCTATAACTATGGGTGTAAATGACCTGCCTCTTGCCACAGATGGAGAAAAAATCAATTAGTCGCTTAAAGTCTAATGATCGCCATCACAACTGAGTTGTGGCCAATTTGCCACCATAACTGAAATCAGCCTCAACTACAGGACCATTACTGTAACAACCACCCCACACACTTACCTTAGCTGCCGCCAGCTTGTATGAAACAATCCTTAAATCCCGATCATGATTATCAAAATCGTACGATTTGGTTCGATACAGGTACAAAATGATTCGTATTTTATATGAAAATCATTTAGAGTTGAATCACACTTGAATCGTACGATTCAATTCGTATCTCACGAATCGCACAATTCAAACATTTTTTTTTAAACCCTAAATTTTTGGCAAAACAATGTCGTTTTGTCTACTAAATAGTAAAACGATGTCGTTTTGTTTACAGAGGAACCCACTCCCTCATAAAAACTCAACCTCTTTGCTCATTCTATCTCTGACGTCGTCTAAAACTCGTCTTGCACTGTCTAAAGCTAAAGGTCACCGTTAACGCTCTTGCATCATCGATTGATTTTTGTTCTCAATTTTTTTATGAGTAGTTTGTTAGATTCTAATTTTTTGTTTTAAAATGTTGACTTGTATGTTTTCTACCAATCAATTTTTTTATTTGTTCTTTTTTCATTCATGTTTGTAACCTAATCTATACTTGGTGTCACTATTTTAGTTCTTGAATAGCCATAATTTTTTAATGAATTTTTTTTTTTAAGTTGTTGAATTTAAAAATGGATAAGTAAAATATGAAAATAAAGTAAAAAACTAGTGTCTTTCCATTTAGACGACGCGATTATGCCAATTAATTATTTTTAGAATACAATAATGTTCAATATTCAATGTTTTGTCTATTTTAAATATGTAGTATTATTTTTTATTTTTGTTTAAATTTTGCATCGAATCTTACGATTTACTATTCGATACGATTCATGATATGAATCGTGATTTAACAATTATGATCCCAATCAAACTAAAAAACCACACAAACACATCATAGAAAGACACACAGGTGAAAGGAGTCCTTAATTCAGGTAATTCTTAACATATCACCAACAGCTGCTAAATACTTGACAGTATTCACCAATTAACCATGGCACACAAGCTAATAAATCTTGATCATATTTAGAAAACGGAAGTAAGACACATGAATTTCTATAAATGGAGAAGGCATAGGATGAGGAAGCAAGTCATCACATTTATTTGCGCATCATACATCTTGTACACACACAAATGGACAACGGCCAAAATACACACATATATCATACCCTTGATGGTCTTTGTCTTTGCAACATGATCAAAAAAGTAACACTTAAGTTTCATTAAGTTACAAATCACATGCACTGGGCATAAATATTAGACTTATAAGCAATTTATGCAACTTTTACTATCAGTGTACACATAAAACTATACAACTTTTTGTTGGCATATTACTTTTGTATTCATGTCCTAATATTTTGGATTTGTCATGTAGATGTTTATGTTTAATGTAATTGCATTACTGCGCCACTGCCGAATCCATCAAAAGATGACTGTCTTTGCAAATAAGTCATTATCACAACTAAACCCACATCACAGCTGCCACATCCCTTTCAGCCACCAGCAGCACATCAGAGTCATCATCTCTACCACTGGCACACCAACAAAACTGCCACACCCATCACTGCTGTAGACACCATACCATCATTAACCTACCACAAACCACCACTACATCAAAATTGGGGAACCCTTTCAATAACAATTACTGTTATCATATTTCCAGACTGGTTTCCACCCTCAGTCTCCCTCATGACTGCCACTCTCTGCTACCCCTATCATCATCCTCAGCAAAAAATTATTAAACCTCTGTCACAGCCATCACCATAAGCATTGAAACTATAATAGCGGAATGATGTGGAATTATGGGATCATGACAGTCACCTGTGCTATATCATACATGTATCTATGTGGACGGGTGTGTGAGAGAGAAATGATTTACACTTTCTTTTTCATTTGCTGTGAATTAATGAATATTTGGCAGTAATATGAAAAATAAGAAAACAATCACCGGTAAGACCTATAGCCATAAGCAATTGCCAAAAGGAACAATCTTCGGCTATAAGACAAACAAAAGGACAAAAGACATTCAAACATGCGAATAAAGGGAATAAAAAGGAAAACTAAGAAGATCGCCAGGGAAACATAAGCACATGCTCACTTACTTCTGCTATGTCATCTTCTCCAATAGCCCCAAATGGAACAATTGTAGCCCCAAACCTTGCAGCCATTCTCACGAATTCTGCTTGATCAGGCCAAAACAATTTATATTGTTCACCCTGGGAATCCCAAAAGCACCTCAATAAAAAGAAGCACAACTAACACTAAAACCAATACAGATAATCTTGAGCCATTAAAATAGTAAAGGCCTTATTTATGACAGCACATGCAACCATGGCCTCTCTGTATTCTATACCACCCAAATTTTCATATTAGAAAAAAGTTCATGCTTTTGTTAGCATCAATTTTAGGCAAGGTTCCTTGAACCACAAACATCAGTGTAAGAATAAAATTCCTACGTGAACTTGTTTGTGGTTCATTTGATAAACTCAACCCAATAAAATCTTATTCCAACTATTGGGTCGTCTAAATGAATCATTTTTCGTAGGCAATCAAGACCATATTGGGAGTTAAACCACAAGCTATTATATCTTTATTATTCTGTTTCAATACTAATTTCAGTCTACTTCTACCTTTCACACTACCTCACTCTTCTTCACTGGTGCATTTAGTAAGTCCTCCATAAACATGTCTAAACTACCCAAGTCTATAACATGTGATTCTGGAGATGAGGGAACTTTAGCCATTTCACGGCTAATTGTGTTTCAGCATAGGATTTTTGCATTTAATCCTTGTTGCGTGACATTCAGTTGCAATAATCGTTCCTTAATCTGAAATTGAGATTAACTTAATCATTTCAATGACAATAATATGGATTATTAAAAATATCTATTTCTTTGGAGGGGATAAATTATTAAAGACTATAAATTTTGGGGCTAAACTATAATTAATGAAAATTTTAATTAGAATCGAAATTTGGGATCGGGAGAAAAAAGTTACATGTCATATGTGACTTACATTTGATAGAGGAAAATGGGACAAATGTGTACTTGTTTGGGGTCATACATGTGCCACTAAACTAGATCTGTGGGTCTTCGAAATGAAAACTTCAGTCTTTTAGGCAACGTGAATCTGTTGCAAAAGAAAATCTGCATGGGAATAGAGACAACAGAAGACGAAAGAGAAAAATGAGAGGGATAGAAGCAGGAACAAGGTTGTCTGGATCGTTGATCGATTGGTACGTGGTCCAGATACAAGTACAACAAGATATGATACTTTCTCTACACACGATGCAAGGGGGTAGGCCTAGCAAATACGCTACTTTGGGCATAGTTCGTTATATAACCTAGAGGTTTTTGCTTTTTTCCAACTCGAAAAATGTCCATCTGCAAAAGTAATATAACCCAGTGGCTATTTTTGACTTTTTACCCAAGGGTGAGTTTCTGCTGAATATAACCTGGGGTATCTTTTGATTTATTTATCTAGCACAAAAACTGCTCATCTACTGAAATAATATAATCTTTCTCTGGCTGACAATGATGAGGAGAGTGTGCCTTTACCAAATGCTTCATGCTTCGAAATCAAAGAGAGACGTGCAGACTGCAGCACACATTCTCTTTACCAAATGCATTCAAGATCCAAAATTTGAATTGCAAAACCATGCCAGTCGATTAGAAGTTGACATATGTGTGGATTGGGGGTAAGAAACGACTATCGATCAAGGAAGACAGAAGCAACTTTCCGTTCAACACACACCGTTTGATCCAAGCATGGAGCTTAAACGATTTCGCCCCTTTTGAAAATTTCATGTGTATTTCTTGATTTTTTCTTCTCCCTTTCTTTATCTGTTCATCGTGATTTTCTATTATTTTCAAAAAATTTGTGGTTAGGATTGTGATTTGGGATTAGGGATGCGATACGGATTTAGGGTTCTGACTCGGGTTGTGATTCTTGCCAATTTATGCAGTGAAAGTACCCTGTTTGGCGTCGTGCGACCCTAGCTGCAAGTGGTAATGTCTTTAGCAAATTCGTGTAACACTGAGCTGGGAGGGTATATCAGGTGTGCATTTCTTCTCTTCTTTGCATGTTTAGCATACATGTAATATTTTTATACATACGCGTATACACAAATTGATGCAATTTGAATACTAAAAAACTAACAACTTGATATAATTCCAAGGGTCATGGGCTTCAATTGATACATATCTTATTGAATTTGATTTCAAGTTATTATAGAGATTGGAGGTTGTAGTTCTCGAGTAAACCCAAAGTCACGCGCATAAGATTGTTAATTTATTGGCATCAATGATGAGATTTAAACACATCAATAAGTTTTCCATATACGTTACTTCATTTCTTATGAAAAATGATAATATTTGGATGAGTAATGAGTCAAATATGGAGAGAGAGAGAAAATGTACAAAAAATAAAACAAATTTCAAAACTTTGAATCCTAAAACTTCCAACTTTTGAGTTGTTTAGTTGAAAAATAAGGGCGAATTAAACTTTGCACCCTGAAAGATTTAAGAATTTTTACTTTTTAACCTTGAAGATCAGATAGTGTTATAATGTGACCCTTCCGTTAATTTCCGTTATTCATCCAATCAACATCACTGGGGTGGATTTTGACAGAATAAGCAACAGAAATTAACAAAGTGGTCACATTATAACATTTGTAATACATTAATGGAATAATGTGAAAAATTTAATGGACGAGGGTGAATGTGAAAAATTTAATTTTTTAGGGTGCAAAATGGGAAGGCTTAAATCTTTCAGGGTACAAAGGGAGATTCCACCAAAAAATAACAATCTAGATTTTTAGAGGACTGGGACAACTTCACAACAGATACATTTGGTGAAAATCCGGTAGAAATCACTTGAAAAACATTCTTTTGGCGACCGGTCTCTTGCCCCACATAATTTTAAATATTATATTTTAGCCCCCATAATTTTAAAATCATGAAAGCAACGCCAAACAATTTTCAAAATTTTCTATTAAACCCCTAACATAATTTTGGAAATTAGAAATCAACCCCTATACTTTTTAGAAACTTAGGAAACTACCCCTTTCCAATTATAATCTACACAGTTCTCGAGATTACAAAGCAGTCGTTGCAGTTTTAAAAACCTTCCACTTACACAAAAAGGTTTTAGTACTTTTCAACTAAATTCCAAAAAAAGTTTTGAAAATTATAAATGCAACCCTAGAGATTTTATTTAAAAATCATATTTAGTGTCAAAGAAAAGTTTAATAATTGTTTAGAACCTAGAAAGCACGGATACTCCTCATGAGGTCGACGTGGCGGTGTCGGACACGTGTCTGACACCGATACACATGGATACAGCCGGACACATGTACAACACTTCCAAAAGTGTCTTGAATAGTGAAGAAGCATTTGTTGTGAATGGATACAGGGGTGATACAGCGGGATACAAACCCAGCTGCATCTTTGTTGAAACAAAAAAGTTGGGGGGGGGGGGGGGAATTAGCCACAGATCTCCTCTTTGAACAGGTATATCATCTTCAGATCTCTCTTCGACCACTCCCCTCTCTCTCTCATGCCAGCAGATGAGATCTCTGCAATTTCTATCAACCTATTTGCTCTACAGCTTGCCCTATTTGTTGAAAAGCAACAAGCAAAGTCTTTTTCTTTTTTTTTTTCTCTTTTCAGCAAGGGCTTGCCCTAATTTTTTTTCAGCCCTATTGTTTTTTTTTTCTTTTATTCTTTGTCCTAGTTGCTAAATTACAATTTACAAGTAATCCTTGGACTTCTTATATTTTATGTTAAATTACAATCATACCTTATTAGTTGTTACCCACTACCCAATTTGGTTTAGCCCTCTGCCCATAACATATTAGCCCGCTAATTAAATTTAATATTAACTCATTTGTCCAATTATAAAATATTAATTAATTACTCAATTTTATTATTAATGTTATTATATATATAAAAATTTATTATATTATTTTAATTAATCGTATTCTCGTCGTACCCGTATCTTATATTTTAAGATTATGTCGTATCTCGGTGTCCATATCAGTGCTTCCTTGTTTAGAACTCTCCAAGGGTTCTAAAACTTTCTCCAAGGCTCGTAAAATATTTATATCTTTCAAATGGAACCGCATTTAGTTATTCCAAGATCTCAACTTTATAAAATAATGAGTAAACCACTAAGCACAATAAGCCCCCTTAGCATAAAAAGTAGAATAAACATATATGGTTTTGCTTCCTTTGTGCAACCTGGTTGGTCTAAGAAATTCATATATACGATAGCTATATGTAAAAAAGGATCAAATTTCTGATGTAAAAGTTATTAAGTTATTTCCAATTAAAGAAGTTTAATTTTCAATTCTATAAAATTAGCAAAATACTGTTAAGGTGTCAAAATTGAAATAATTCAGTATCCATGTAATACCCAATGTTATTAGTTTAGAATTTGACTCAACATCTTGGCCTCACATATATTGAATATAAAATTGGTTTGGAATCACCTTTAGCAAAGAAAATTTGGGCCCACAGAGGTAAATATATTTATTGAGTTATGTATTATAGACAGACTAGTCATAACCCGTGCCTAAAGACACGATAGAATATAAAATTCGAGTCTCAAAAAATCGATCTCACTATATTAAATAATAATTTTTCATTCTTTCATTTCTTTGATTACATCATTCAAAATTTATTTTTACCTATTATTTGCTTAAAAATATTGACAAAATTTTCTCAACATAAACATACAATCGCGTGTGGATAATATTTGAAATAAGAATTATGTTAAAGTACAAATTAGTCAAATATTAAATGATTGAACATGTGATAGAAATGAGTGATGTGATGGTTTTGGGGGAAAAATGTATAGGGGATAAAATTCAACTTCCTATGTGTTTTATTATATAGATGTGAGTATGTATGATTCATGGTTATCAAAATTCGAATCCTAGGATCTTAAGATTCCACAACCTAATTCATAGGATCTTAATGAATCGTGATCTAGATCTTCAAGGATTGTAGAATCCCAAATTGAATTGCACTTTTACCGATCCAAGTTGTTGGGTTTGTTTGTTAGGTGCATTTAATTATTGAGCAAACTCAATCCATATTTATCGTTTTAATAATTAAAGACTTAATTCAAATGTGAATGTTCCATATAGTAGTCAATCTATTGAAAA